ACAGAGAGTACATGTCATTTGAGTTATTATAGGAAAATTTGAAAATAAAATTCTATTTATATGGTACACCCAAAAGAAAACAATTAAATCAAACATTTACAGAAGAAAATTTTGTAAAATTGAAATGATTATAAAATTAAATTATGAGGGAGTAATTTCTTTTTGTATTTACACACTGTTTACTGTTACAAATTTAACATAAAAAAAAATGTTCACTTAAAAAACAATTAAAAACACCTATTAAAATGAATATTAACTATAAAATCAATTTCTACTGTATAACTGTAATATAAAAAACACAAAATAATCTTAAGGATAAAAAAATTATTTACAATGCTATAACACATTAATGGCACACATTTATAAGCTAAATGTTAAGTAGATCAACTGATGAAAAAACATAATTGTTGTTCATTTAAAGTCGACAATAGCAATTTAGTAATATTAAATTTAATCCTATCTACACAGTCTTGGCAAAAATATAAAATTCTAAACGTCAGCTTTAATTGCTGCAAAATTAAATTTATTCTGTATTATACATGATGAATACCATTTTCTAAGGTTTCACTGTCCTCAAGTTTGCGCAGTGTCTTCATAACTCTCAATGCGGCCAATCTTACATTCGGATTTTGATGCCAACAAAATTGAATGATTTCTGATATCACTCTCAATCTCTGAAATAAAAATAATTATGAAATAAAAATAATAACTAACATTTATATTATTTTTACTCACATTATCACATTTCCATCTAATAGGTATATCTGGTCTAGCTCCTTGGACTACCAATACTAAGCGCATGTCATCTACAGAAGGATCAGAGCCAACCAGATTAGCATAAGGCAACATATATTCATCAGCTTGAAGCATAGGTGATCCTCCAACTGGCCAACTTTGTCTGCTTCTTCTATAAATTAGAAAAATTTTATTTTAGATAAGCAAAATGGAATTAATTCAATACCATAATTTAAGTAAAATTGTTAAAATACTTGCCTACACAATTCCCAAAACACTAAACTTGCTGAGTACATATCTGCAGATTTAAATGCACTAAATGAAGTCACATCAATAGTGTCATTGACTACTTCAGGAGCCATATAACGTCTTGTGCCTACTCTTGAGTTGGGAGCAATGTCAATTTCATTTCTTCGACTAAAATAAAATCATACAAAAAATATTAATTAGTATAGATTCAAAATAAATTTTGTATAAAATAAATAAATACCTATCATATCGAACAGCTAAAGCAAAATCAGCGATACAACACTCTCCATCAGTCTTGACCAAAATGTTTCTCGATTTAATATCTCTATGGGCAATACATGGTTTGCCGTGAGTTCCATTGATTGGCTCGTGTAAATGTGCTAAGCCACTAGCTATTGATCGAGCCATTACAACTAGCTGAGCAGTATCTATAGTATTCTCTTTCAAAAAATCATGTAAAGAACCACGTTTATGATATTCTGTGATTAACATCATCTGAGCACCTCCAACACTGACTTTCAAATCAGCAGCGATGAAACCTTTATTTTTATTTTTAATATTACAATGAGTTTCAATAATTGAAATCGGTAATAATTTAATAATTTACCTAAAATGTTATCGTGTCTAAGTAAAACAGTTTGGTATATTTCTGTTTCTCGTAGCCAACTTTGATCATTAATAGTAGTAAAAATTTTCACGGCCACATGTGCACCTCTCCAGTTAGCTAAACATACTTTACCAAATCTACCCTCTCCAATTTGTCGTTCTATTACGATCTGTTTAGCAATTGTTCTTTGAACCTAAAAGTAACATTTTTTTTTAAATAGTATTCAGTGCTTTATTTTAATATTAAATTGATTCTTACAAGTAGTGGAATCCCGGAACCAGAACCAGATGAATGACCAATAAGCGTTTGCAACAAATTACTGTTGCCAGTGATATAGCTGTCTGTAGAAGTTAAAGCATACAGCCGATTTTTCTCCCTTCTTCTATACCTAAGGTATATCCAACCTATGATGATTACAGATACTAGGAGACAGATAATCATTGACAACATAAATGCTATGTAAGGTACAGAATTAATATGAACTTTGGGTGGTACTGTTGTTGTACTGTGTGGTATGTATGTGGGTCTTATGTCTYTATTGCACATATCTGAGTTGCAACACTGAATTGCCAGGCCATACAAAGAATTGCCACCTTTGCACTAGAAAAAAAAAAATAATAACGTAACAATTGTTTTTAATAGTAGGTATGTTGTATAAATGGTAATTTTTCAAAATATTTACTTGTAGGAAGCCTTGTTCACCAGCTGCAAGACACCCATAAGATACTGTTGGTTCATATTCGCCAGTTTCGTCGTTAATTTCTTCACGCACAGCACTAAAGCATTGGGAATAGCGTGAAGTTACACATGTTCCATTTGTCTGGCCGTCTGGACATTGGTGTTCGCAATAACACGTCAATCCATGGACTAAAATTTAAACAAAAATTGGTAAAATAATTAAATTTAAACAGATGAATAAATTATGATAGAATAAAATATATTGAATGTTCCCTCTTGTTAAACATCATGTTGTTAAATGACAGATTTATTTACAGAAATTTATTCAAATAGTATTTCTAAATAAATGTTTGCAAAAAAACTGTTTCAAATTCTAATTCAAATAGGGAGCTAACAAATTAATGTGTTAAAAAAAAACAATATAAATGTTATGAAACGATCAAAGAAAGAATCAAAAAATATTTATTTTTTATAGTGTCGGCGCTATTCGTCGAACAAAGACCAATAAAAACTGGTAGCCCAGATATTTCATTAAAATTCATTCCGTCATACAGACTACATAAAATATGATATATTTATTTTTTATCTGAAGTTCGGCTTTTTTTAATCATTATTATTCCCATCTAAATGGTTTGTAGTTCCAAAAAATAACATATCTAAGTCTTATTTATAAAATAATATATAAAACAAAATAATGCATCTACTTATTCTTAAAGTATTGATAGTTGATGTATGTTTATAATATTGTGAAATAATTAAATTTWAATTATTTATTAATTTTAATTTCTACGAATCAGTCAATTTTCACAACAATAATTTTCTATAAACTAAATAATTATGAATTTCATAAAATTTTAAATATATTTTCTATTAAAACAAATACCTAATATACACATTGGTGTTAAATTAGCATATTATAAACCTCAAAATGTATATTTAAGTTTTCTTGAATATTGAGCAATAAAAAAATATTTATTTAACCGTCAGTCTCAAATCTAAAACTTTAAAAACATACGAGCATACGAACGATGAGAAATCGTTTTTAGTAGGGATTAAATTATCCTATTCAAATCCTCCCCCTACTTTAAAAATAATAATAATAAAACACCTGTTGCCTGGTCTTATAAATATTAAACATCATAAAAGGTAGAGAATACAGGTAAAAACACACACAAAGAGCTGTTAACCAACGACGACGACAGTGCTATATATATAAAAATTCAAAATGGATACGCAGTATATGCGTTTGGGCCAATCCAACTAACCCCTTTTACATAAAAACGTTGAATAATAAAACCTGAACTGTCTATACAATATACACACTAAGATAGTGATTTCAAACCTCACRCAGCAATGTTATGAGATATTACAACAATGCAACTAAATCTGTCACACCTAAAAAAACCATTTAAAAACTCATGTCAGAAAATATGAATACGTGTTATTCATATATGAATATTTTATACAGTAATTTACATAATTTATGATTTATGTGCCAGTGGGCGGCATAATGGTGTTGCCGAGACATTTAATTATTAATCGGTTATAAATCGCATGAGGGAGAGAAAAATAAGAAAAAGAGAGACTTGAATGCTCGCATTATATTATATTATATTGAATACGTAGGAGTCAGTCGATTTGATGGGTGATGTGAGAGTAAGCCGGTAATTTTTTTATTGTTATAAACCTAAAGACTAATTAAAACTGATGGGATTTTCGTTACCCGAGTTTAGGCGTTTACGATTTTATTACTCTAGGCTCAAGTACATAAAACATAATTTCGGGTGTGTCTACGAAACCCACTGGGTTTTAAAAAATAATAATATACAGCAGAGACTTGAACGTTTTGGTTTAATACTTATMATTGAACAAAATATAATACACGGTTTGTAACTACATTTTGCTTCCTTATAATAGCGTACACACAACACACGCCAAGCCGAATTGAAAAACGATAAAATGAATTATATACCAAAATAATACTATGAATTATACTATTATAGGCGAACAAAGTGCGTTATTAAGTTTTGAAAAAAATATCAACCTAAATATTATTACGGTAACAAATGACAACAATATATTTGATTTCCGAAAATACTATACGTCTAAACACACGCAATTCGTTTCTAATGAAAATAATACAGCACAGAYGACGCAGAGACTTGAACGTTTTGTTTTAATGCTTACAATTGAACAAAAATATAATATACGGATATTTTGCTTTTTTTATAAAAACGTACCCACGCCAAGCAAAATTGAAAAACGATATAAATKAATTACATATCTAAATAATATTATTTATTATACTATTATGGTTGAACACGGTCGGTAATTGCTCTGGGAAAAAATGTCGACCTAATATTATTGCGATAATAATTGACAACAATATATTATATTTTCGAAAATACTATACTCAAGCATGAGTGAATTAWAAAAATTATATTTTAATAATGATTTAATATTATAATAACGTGTTCGGACGGGAGCGGCCGTCCGGTTTCTGGGGGTGTCAGATTACGGTTGCCGTCGCATTATAATAAAATCGTAATATTAAAATACTTTTTAATATTATACTATCATACGGCAATAACAAAAATAATAATATTAATATCGTATGTTATTATTTTCCTGCACACCGACACGCGACGGCAGGACGCGTCGTCGTCACACGTCGGAGGCGTCGAATCCCCCGGCCGAGAAATAAATTCCAATCCGTGGACCGTGGTAGCAAAGGTGTCGGGTGTCCAAGAAACAATCGCGCGTTACCCCGCAAACACCACCATACAYCCGATGTGCACCGGTTCCCCCTAACCGACCGCCAAGCCAACCACCCACCCGCCCACCATCACCGAGCGGCTTACGAGAAAAGAACGCGCTCACACACATGCACACAATGAACGCAATCGCCCCCGCCACGTCCCTTCCCGTAAGCCGCGTGATTTGTTGCGTTGAACCCTGCTCCGCCCCCGCCGCCGCATCATCAGTGGGCCCGCTCAAACACATGCAACACCAAGACGGTCGTCAACGGGTGACAGCGACGACGGCAGCAGCTGCACCGACCGACACGACCGGTTTCGTTTTTGTATATACCTCTTTGTATATACTATATACCTCTCGTTCGATCACTCACTCACTCTCTCTCTCGTTCTTTGCGTTTCTCTTCGTCTACGTTTCTCTCTCCGTACGCACAACAATCTGTTTTCGTGCATCGGAATCACGTTCGGCTGGCGTGGCGGTGAAGACGGGAGCGGCCCGGCCGCCGCACGCACACAAACAGATCTTTCTCTCGACGATCCCTCTCTGTACGACCAGCGGCACAACACATGTGCACCAAACCGATGACGCTGCGCTGCGCACAAAGTACCCTTATTATTATTTATTAAAATATATTATACTACGTATTATTATTACGACAATAATAAGTGTTCGGTACCTGTTTCGGAACGTCATGCAACACCCCACGTCGGTGTATAAACGCTGCACACATGTTCCAGTATTCACACAGTTTATCAGAGAAATCCTAATATAACGCGACCGGGTACGACACATACCAATTTAAAATAATATTCAAACGAATCGAATTTTTGCCAACAATCATAGTTGAAACTATTGGTCTGATCGAAAATACGACAAGGRTTTTACTTTTTTTCATACACAATGAATTAACAAACCCAGGGGGTTTACTTCGCATTTCATCATTTTTCATAATTCAAACCAATAAATTAATATACAATCTCATGCTACTGTGAGATGGGTCAAAATTATTATTTTTAACTAAGTAAAAAAAAATGTAATAACTTTATTTTTCAAATATACCTAATACACATGGGCTAATGACTTAAATTAACATAAATATTTATTAAACTTTTAGTTTAAAAGCAACGTTTTCAATAGGAAAAGTTCAAAATAAATATGCAGTATCAGTAAAATAAAATAAAATAAAATAATCAAAAAACAGTCTAATATTGTATTTAATTAAAGATTATTTTTTGACCGGTTAGAAAATATCAAAAATATATTATTCGAACTACTGTTCATCCAGTTCATGGTATAGCAATTGATTTTAAATTCCACCAACCTAATTAAATTAATTCGTGTTAATTTTAGTTTAGCGAAGATACGAAGATGGAATTTAAAAACAAGTATTAATGTTAATATAACATTAAAAAYATATAATCAACTGTTTTAGGAGTATTTAAACTTATTAATTACAAGGTGTCATGCTTAACATAAATCTTAAGTAATAAGGGAAATTATTTTATGCCAAGTAAAAGAAGAGCATATAATTTCATTTCAAGCAATTAGGTACATATCCAATAATAAATTTACGAAAAGTTTCTAAAAGTTACAAAAATAAAATATCAACAATAATAAATAGGTATACATGTACTTATAAATGGTAATTTTTGTTTATAATTATATTGAAAATATATATACATGATAAATACAATATTATAAGATAAAGTTGAACATAGTACCTACTACCTACGCATAAGTATTTTTTTTTAATCAAGAAAATATTTCTATATGATACACCGTGTGGTATAAACAATTGAATRGCAATTGTATTGAAACATAAATTTATTCAATATTTATCCTTAACTAAAATAAAATTCCAAATAATATCGAAACCTTTAAAAATGCAGAAACGTGACAAATTCTATGTAGTGGCTCACAGAAGCGTAGGTATGTGTAGAACTCGCAGTGTCAACGACACCTGTATTTTATCAGACAATAGAATACTATATATACGGCCAGGTGTGAGTACATTATCAAAAATACAATACCTGCCATCTTCTCTCGAGAAGCCTTGGTCCATCAGCGTCTTGGTAATTTATTTTGATGTTTTTTTTTTCGATGGAAAAACGTTAGTTTACGGTCACGCTTTGTCCGACAAACTACCGAGTGTTCTCATCAAACTCTGTTTCATTGTCATTGAAATATCATTATAAAGGGTATTTTTTGTAAAAAGACATATTAGTGTTGAAAATTGGAGGTAAATCCAATTACAACTAAAGGAGTACTTATTGTGAATTTGTGTTATACTACTTATAGTTTATTGGCCAGTATTCGCCACACAATTTCAAAAGTATAGAATGTTTACTGTTCAAGTAGAAAATTGTATCAATACTCAATTCACAGAATACAAAACATTATGAAGACCATTACAAAATTAAACTTTTCATATT